GAGCTCTATATATATATATATATATATATATATATATATATATCTATATATATATATATTATATATATTATTTATATATGTGTATATATATTATTTACGTATATATATGTATATATATTGTTTGTATGTTTATTTATATTTTATTTATATATATATATTATTTATATATATACGTATATATATATTATTTATATATATACGTATATATATATATACACGTATACGTATATATACGTGTATATATACACGTATATATATATACGTATAATATATATATGTATATATATATATATACGTATAATATACATGCGTATATATATTCACACGCGTATGTATGTACACGCGTATATATGTACACGCGCGCGTGTATACATGCACACGCGTTCGTATATACATATATATACATGAATACGTATATATATACGTGTATACGTATATATATACGTGTATATATATATGTGTATATATGTACATATATATATACACGTATATATATATATATAGGGCATATATACTTTTTAAGTCGTGTATCATGCATAGGAACGTTGACGCCTGCAAGGCTCTTGTCATGTAAGTTCCTTACAATTTAAACGCGTGCGTCTATACATATATATATATAAATACATGTATACGTATATATATATACGTGTATATATATATACGTATATATGTATGTATAAGTACATATATATACACGTATATATATAGGGAATATATATTTTTTTAAGTCGTGTATCATGCATAGGAACGTTGACGCTGGCAAGGCTCTGGTCATATAAGTTCCTTACAATTTAAAATTTAAATTCAATAAAGCCTGAAAATGACTTACAGTATTTTGCTTATTGTTCCCACTTAAAAAAACTACTACAGTACTTCTGTTTAATATTTGAAATGGCTTTTTGGTAACATGACACACGTTGAATTAACATGTCATATGTATAATTAATAATCCAAAAAAGTACTCAGATTACACTTCAATATACGACAAATTACCCAGAAATTTAAATCCATCAACTTGGGACCTCTGAACAGAATACATTATACCTTTACACATTTCAACATAATACTCCAGATAAAGAAAGAGGGCTACCAATCAGGTGTCTATAAAGCGCAATTTAGTTTTTGCTACAATACTTGACAATTCTTATTTAAAGCATTTTCATTGTTACTTCATGTATATTCATGAGGTTTTGAAATAAATAAACCATTAGAATTATGAATGAATGAACTACGTGGAGAAAGTAGCAACGAATATGGCAAACCTGCTTTCTCTGTGTATGACCATTATTTCCACATCTTTAACAGTTTTTCATAAAATATCGGCCTATGAGTATAAGCAGGTTTAAGAAAGAAAAGAAATTGAAACAAAAATCAGAATCTCATTAAAAACTTACTATAAAAATAAACTTAAATACAAACCCAAAATAATAATTGCTATTATTGAAATGTTCTTGTTGTAGCTACTGTATATTTATGTTCTTTTTTGTTGTTGTTATATTATCATTATTATTATGTCAATGAACCAATTAATTAATATTTCATTTATTATTATTACTATTAATATTGTTTTTACTGTTAATTCGTGTTACTGTTATTTCAGTTTTACACAGTTCACCAGACAAATATATACAAAATACCGTACTCTACATAAAATTACTGTATAGGACTAAGTTATGGAAGCTTAAAAGTGCCACCTGGATCCTGGATCTCGTCATGTCTACATTCTTTAAAAGAAATGTTCAGATGACGAGATCCTGGATCTCATCATGTCTACATCCCGATAGTTATCGTTTCCGGTCATTTTCGGCCTAATATTGTACTGGTGTTTAAGATATGTAGACATGATAGGATGCGGGATCTCGTCATCTGATCATCTTCTATGGTCTGTAGACATGACGAGATCCAGAATCTTGTCATCTGAACATCTAGGTGTGTACTTTGAAGCTTCCTTACTGAGTTGTTTTGAGAAATAAATCTTCTGATCTCATAACTAGAATACAGTAAACCAAAGAACCATGGGATTGGAAGGTACTGCATCTCATTTCATTTGTTTATTCAGACAAGTGACTTGTAACCTGTCTCTTATACACATCTAGATGTGTATAAGAGACAGTATATATATATATACGTAATTTAAAAAAAAAATAAAGTCAAAAAGTCAAAGGACAAGAATAATTATAACATATTAAATGCACAGATTTTGTAAACAATTAAACAAATTGATTACATAATAATTACAAATTACATAAAAAGCCAATAAAACATCTTACCAACCAATTCACAGTACACTTATTTTTAACTGAAAACATATTAACAAATATCATGTTTGGTAGGCCTATCAATCGGTGCCCACGTGTGTTTTCAGTGAAAACTCCTCTTAAAACTTATAGTCATAGTGAGGAACCACATTCTCAATCAAATTTCAATGATCCATGTCAGAAACCAAGAATACGATAATACTACTGTAAGTAGGGCCTATAATAGATCTACAACATTTGTAGGCATGTATTATGGAAGTGTGTGTACACGTCTAAATTATTATATCCAAATGATTAATTGATGTGGGTATTCTGTTTGTTAAAAAATTAAATTCAGCGCATTTTCGGCCCATAGGATATCAAAATCATCTAAATTACTTTCAAGGGTTATTGCCAATGTGATATTATATAAGGTAGGCCTATATGTATTTGAAGGTCATGTGTCCGGACATTAGATTATAATCATATAAATTGTCTCATGATATATCCGCCGTTAAGAAGCGCCTTGGCGCACCGTGGTAATAATAATACCAATAAAGATAATATTGATCGTGAGGTATACATGTATGAGATCACAGTTTATTTTTAACAAAGGCCTAACTGTACTAGGAAATATACGCGACCAAGTACCGGAAAATGAAGGAAGAATTGCGTGTCTTGGTAGACCTTTTGAGATTCAAGTAGCATTCCGCAGATGTACACTGCTGTTATTGGTTTTCATTTTCTGCAATGCTTTAACATAGCCACCGCTGCATAATCAAAATAGGCCTGTGGTAAGTTTAATAGGCTACGAAGTTAATAAAGAAAAAAGTACTTTGCTAATTTATAATATATTTGTTTGTACTACACATTTCAACAAGTAGTCCTACCGGCTATTTGTTTATAATTTGATCTGATATTTTATTCAGTTTGATTTGAAAGTCGGGGTGACGTGCGTAGCCTACTAGATTACTGTACTAAAGAACTAATCACCAAACTCTCAGACGGAGAACGACGGCAATAGCCTATTGTAGTAGGATCCTCACAGGTCCGTTTGTCAAAAAAAAATCCAGTTTGCCGAAACCCAGTTTGCCGAAACTTGCCGTCGCTGTCGTACACAAGTACAGCATACTGTGCTTTTGCAAAAATGATGAGTTGGCCAGGGAGGACCCGTACCGGTAATTATATAGGCTCACAAATAATCCTGGAACAACAATGCTGTGGGAAAAGGCCTACTTGAAGTCATGCATGGCTCATCAGTTAAATTAGAAAGTGAAACGAAGGATCAAGCATCGTATCCCACTAAAAAAAAACCCTCTGCCTGCGAACCCTAATGCAAGGGTCCTGACCGATTCAGACACATTCAGACCCCCCCCCCCCCCCGTAGGGAAATTTCTGGAGCCACCACTTGCACGTGTGTATAATTTATTTCCTTCAGGTTTACATATATTAGTTAAACGTTATGTATTTATTAAAAATATGCTTATAAAACATTTAATCACACGTTATAAGCCTATTTCATTAATTTTTGGATGATAGTCAAATTGTTAATCAAGTTTGATTTACAGAATAAAGAAAAAAGAATCATTAAAACTTACTACCTACAATAAGCTGCTAGTATTTATTATACCACAGGGTAGGGTCTGTGATTATACTAATACTGTACATGGTAAGAGAGGGCGCCATCGAATGCTATTGTTAATGTTTCACTGACTTTCGGCAAACTGGGTTCATGGTTTTTTTGGACCCATCACAGTTGCCAGCAAACTGCCCGACTGTATAGTATCCGCAAAAGGAGAAACTGGGTTTATGGTTTTTGAGTCGGCAAACTGGTTTTCGGCAAAGTAGGCCTAGACTCGGCCGGCAATCTGGCATTCGGCAAAACTGAGTTTCAAAAATCTGGCCTAGGCCTAAATCCTAAGGACCTGATCATAGTTCATCCTAAATCGTTCAATTAACAAATATCAATGTGGATGTGATCTTTGGACCCATCACGTTGCCAGCAAACTGACCGACTGTATAGAATCCGCAAAGGGAAATAGAATGTAAGTCTTTTCATCAGCGAATAGAATAATATTAATTCAGGGCTGTTTTTTGTTTTTGTTTTTTTTTTATTTAAAGGTAATTATTCAGGGGTATCATTTTGCACACCCTGCTATTGTTAACAGTTAAGCGTTTATATCCCATAGCCATTATTTATGTTACAGTGTTTCTGAGGAAAGCATCCAAATTGTATCAAGTTTTATAGGTAAGTTATGTTGCCTGTTGATCATTCATAAATTAAATTCACAAGCATATGACCTTGGTACACGCTGGTCACGACATCTGAGCTAAAGCAGCCTAGTTTAAATTTGAAATAGGCTTTTAGTAAACGTGAGTCTATTTGTACCATGGACATATTATTAAAAAAAAGCATTTCAATTATTGACCTATATAGGCCTACATGGAGAAAATACATTTTCTCCAAGTATAAGTCTCTTCATTGTTCATCTCCACATTACATTGATGGGAATATGGCATCTTTACTTTTGTTACAGTGATTTAGTTCAATTTTTGGTTCCCGTTCCCTGAGTTGACTGTGTGTTTGTGTTTGTATATTGTTTCTAGCAATAAAGAATAAGAATTACATTCTCATATTGTCCTAAACTACATGTGGTCACATAGGCCTACCCAGGTTCACATTATAAACCATCCAGTTCAAACTTTCTTCTGCAGTCGGTTGAAAGTATATGGTGGTAGGCCCCTAGATGCTTCTCTGTTGCTGCACCCTAAGTTTCGGAACGACTTACCCAATTTCATCCTCATCTTTGGCCCTTTTAAAATCCCGACTTAAATCACATATTTTTTTCGCAATTATAATCTTTCATTGTTCTTGTTTTATGTAGCATTTTTCTTGATACTAGGTAAAAGAGCGCGCGCATAGAGACATTGCACTGTATTATGCAATTATCAATTTGAAACGGTATTTAGTTAAGTGCGGAACTTAAGAACTGCAAAAAAGTCTAAAACGTTTGTATAAGAAGGAAGGAAATCAATATAGAGACGATGACATTGCACCAAAAGTAAGAAGAAGAAGAAGAAAATATTGTGGACCCATTTCTAAAACAATCCATAATATTCCATTTCTTGAATGGAATATTATGGATTATATTATGTACCGAGTACATTATTCCAAACAGCATGGTACTGTAATTTCGGGAAAATTTATAATAAGCTAAAACGGTTAGGTAAAGCTTAGCAATAAGCTTGTCATTTAAGCATATAGGCCTACTCATAGGCCTAGGCCTATTATTTATGTTTGAAATCGTTTTATGAAGATAAAAGGTGGTGCTCTTATGAAAACTTGTTTTGAATCTGGAATTAGGCCTATAATGAATCTGGAATCAGGCCTATAAATGATAAAAATAACCTGATTTTAACAGTGACCGTTATAATGTTTTTCTTCATAATGTGTTTTTATGTTTTGATTTTAATGTATCGTAAAGACTAAACGACAGAGGGTGCGCAAGATTACCTTGACGCAGAAAATGCTGCAAACATCTTCTAATATTTGTTACTTATTTTTGTTTGACATAGGCCTATATTTATACTAAAATTAAATAAAAATGAATTGCTCCATTCCATTTACACTTTACTATAAAATCAATTGTGTTTATGTAGTAAATGTAATAAACTATTGAGCACGAACATAAGCAAAGTAAGCCTACGACATCGTTTCTGCAATTTATCAGTGGTGGCGCCAGGATTGCTAGACGGGGAGTCCGATGTCCCCGGCGAGAAGACCGATTTCTCCGACCGGCGGAAAAGTGGCCAGGGCCAGCTTAAAGCCTCTCAAAGGAGTTGATTGGAAGAAAACCTAGAAACCCGACAATTGCTTAGATATTTGAAATCCTTAGGTTATATAAACGATTTAGAGTCTCAAATTTTGTAAGTCTTTTTTCTCCCCGAACGAATAGTGTTTTTTTTCCCCTGACAACAAAGATATTTTCCTCCTCCCGCCACTGCAATATATTTGAAATATGGCTTCTAACAGAAACAAAACATTTTATACTAGCAGTAAGATTATAACATATTTATCTTCCGAAGGACACAATGTCTGAACCGTCTATCAGAACCACCCAGAGTTCGCATACCGGTGCAACTGTCACGAACACAGAATACAGCAACCAGACGAGTTTAGGATGCGATACAGTTTATCTTACATCAATACAAGGTCTTCTAAAGGTATCCCAAATGGTAAGTGGATAAGCCAGACAAATAGGCGAACCCATCGTATTAAACTGTTTTGAGCTGTCTTACTTCAAAATATTGGAAGCGCGTAAGAAGGTCTTCAGCACAACATTTAGGTAAAACCAATGAGAAGACGCGTATACAGTTCACCCTCTAATTCTGAGACCCCTCTAGTTCGGAACCAGTTTTTCAAGGTATCAACTGATCACATATCTTTTAATATAAACTCTTCTAATTCTGAGAACCCTTTAATTAGAGACCGTGACCACATTTTTAGCCTAAAATGACAAAATGGTCCTACTACAAAACCACTTTTTTCCCCTTTTTTATTTTTTATTTCAAACAGCTTTTGGGAATTTGTTGGTCTCAACAGATGAACTTATTATTATTAGCTATATATTATTATTAGTTATATTGGGACCTGCTTTAAGCGACTGTATTTTAGTCATGGTGATTTGTACAATATTGTAATGCATTATGAGATATATACAAAATATGTTTCCAGGTGCTAAAAATCGGTTCCAGTTGCTAAAACTATATACATTAATGATTCAGTCATTTAAAACCGAACACAGGATCAAATACTAAGGAAATAAATAGTTTGCCCTCCAATTTCGAGACCACATTTGGACCTAAAAAAAATTGGAGTGGTCTCAGGTTTCGGTCTCTTATGGAGGTTGCTTTGCTTTGTATTAAAAGATTGAAGATTGTTATTCGGGTTTTAGGAAGAGTGGTCTCTAATTAGTTTCGGAATTAGAGAGATCTACAATTGGAGGGTGCACTATATTCAATTATATTAAGATGAAAGAATTTTTTTACTTTTGAGACCACTTGCAATTTTGGTCTTTGTTTTTGGATGTTTTAGATTTGATCAGCCTCTACTTATGCTGATCTTGGAGACCACTGTTTAGACATGGTCTCTATTTAGACTATTTCGTCTTCGATTACTCTCTATTATGCTCTTTAGAGAGCAGTCTAAGCCGTGGTCTTCATTTAGGGGTTTTTAATTGGAGATCGAACCCTGCGATCACTACACTATTCTAAAAGCAAGCACTCATAATGATATTATAATCAATCTTTCAGGACAGGGACGCCGCTAACTACAGACTTAACACCTGGCGCTGGTTCCAAATGGTTCCAGCTGCTCCTCGCCCATGGTTCGGTTGGTAGAACCAAGTATTCTCTGATAATGACTTAAAATGGAGATCCAGTGTACATATCTGGCTCGTGTGCACTTTAAAGAACCCATTGCATCTTTCGGGAAAATAGGCCTGGGGGAGGGGGTTACCCCGATGCTATGGTTCATTTCAGCCCCTGTCTTTGTGGAATGATGTAGTATCCACGGACCACACCCATAGGTAATTCAGCACAATGACCCTATGAGTTAGGCCTACGGGTTATTCTCCTACCATTACTTTTACCCAACATTAACCAGGCTGTAGGCCTACTGTTTTCATCTAGGCCTATTCTAAAGCAGGCACTCATTATAATGATATTATTATAATAACTATTTCAATATGGAGATTTAGTGGGAATTATTATATTTTTACAAAATTTGAATATGAAATTATTTAAAGTCAATGGTAGCGGGAGGGAAGCCGTCCCCCTCCCCACCCCACACCCAAACAAAACATGTTTATGTATGGTAAACGTCATTACTCAATTGATATTATTTTGTTTATCCAATATATAATAATTTAATATTGTAAAACAAGTAAATGGGTCTTATAATCATTGATCCATATACAGGAATAGAATATGAATCATGAAGCAAGCATAATACAATTCCTGTTGTTTTTACCGTAGTTACATATTAGTTTATTAATTATTTTATTACTCACTTTCTGACAATTAAACTAAACTTTCAAGAGACTGTGATCCCCTATTAAGGGGTGCCACTGTTTAGAGGACATTATTGAAGGGATACACGAATTCAGTGGCGTACCGTATCTAGGAGTATTTAATTGGGTAGTGTTGCTGATGGAGGTGATAAGGTGGGAGGGTGCTATGTTAACGTGAAGGGGAAGTAGCTGGCAAAATACAGTGATATGACTCAATTTTACTTTAGCGTAATTGTTTGCATTAAAATTTTCCAGTGGGGAGCGAATGCGCGGGGTTGGAGGGTGGGGAGCATTCACATAGCAATGCCACTGTCGAATATGTTCCCTTAAAAGGGGTTCTACTGTACAGTATTTGATTGACATACTTCAAACACCGTGAAGAAAATATAAAACCATATTAAATGTTTGTATTGTATTGCAATTCGATAAAAAATACTACTTAAGGCTCTCTCAATGAGGGTTTCATTGTGAACGTGTAGAACGTATGGGGGTCAGCTTCTATAGCTCCCACTTAAACCCTGCTTAAACCAACAAGTTCATTAACATGCAATATTGAACCATCATCGCTAATGTTACTTTTTAAAACAATTTTTCAACAGACATTTTCGTTCATCGCGTTCATGTGTGTCACGTGCGCTCCTGGTTGGCATATATCTCATTGGTCTGCCTACCAATTCTTCCAGTTTGTCTCCATGACTTGTCTTGTGCTGACTTCTTTTCAGTTGTTCCTAATTTGTACCAAACTTATTTTTAGAATTCCACTTCCATGGAATCCTATGGTAAGTAAGTTTCAATTGGTGCTGACAACACACATTCACTATGTAGGCATTGTATCTCGTAATGTAAACAGTGTATATGTACCTTTGATGATTTATATTATATCGTAAGTTTGGAATGGTGTAAAACGTACCTGGCTGTGGGTTCCTAGGGATAAGAGCAGGCATACGTGAACGGGTATGAATAGATAACCCTATTGTCATGTTCAAAAGTTCACGTTTAAAATCAACAGTATGGTCCTTATCTAATTTCTTATAAAATGTAGTGTTCGATAATTGTTCATTGGCTTCTTCGATATAACTGGTTTGGCTCATGATGGTCGTGGCTCCTCCTTTATCTGCCTGTCTAATTACGATGTCATCATTGGCTTTAAGAGTGGATATAGCCTTACGTTCTTCTTTGGTCATATTATCTTGTAGTTTTTTACATTGTACTTCGTTGAGGAACGAGTTTAAGTGCGAGGTCGCTGAATTGATGTATGCATCAATGAATTGGTTCCTACCAGTAGGTGGATTGAACTCCTTCACTAGATTGTTCTGTCTTTGCAGAGTGTGATTAGCGGCGAGCTGTTTGTCCTGAAAGAATTCCTTAAGTTGTATCCTACGGGTGAACATGTGGAAGTCAGAACAGAGATTGACTGGGTCAGGTTTCTGAGATGGGCAATATGATAGTCCCTTATTCAAGATGCTTTGCTCTCCCTGAGTGCTGTCTCTTATACACATCTAGATGTGTATAAGAGACATGTATAATAGAAAATAATGAAACAACTTCAGTAGTAGACTTTAAGAACACTGATTTATTATAAACTCGGATATTTATGCCACTCCTGTGGCCTTCATCAGCGAGAATATATATATAGTATAGGCCGTATTGGATATATGTGTATCTATGGGTGTGTGTATGTATGTATATTATAATTATTTTACAGGATGTGGTGTACCATGCATTTGCTGTAGGATTTTATTTCTTAGGTTCATGTTTAGTTGCAGCCTGGGCAATCAATAGCTCTTTGGGTGCCGGGGCGGTAAGTGGTAACTGTTTGTGTTATGAATGTTACTAGCAGGGGCGGATCCAGAATTTTTCAAAAGGGGTGCACAACATATAGATAGGTGAGAGCGCTAATTTCCTTTATATGCATTGAAATTTTAAAATTTAGTGGCAAAACGGAGTGGGGGGGGGGACGTGTGCCCCTACTGGATCCGCCTCTGTGTAGGCTATAATGATAATAGTCGTCGAAATATCTAAAAATCTTAATGCAATAGTTCTGTTAAATGGACGTAACCGCTTTAATTTTTGTTATGATTAGGCTACTCTATTTTAACGAAATTCAGAATAGTTCAGTGTTAGTGGAAACACCTTTTCTGTTTTATCAGACCATCTCCTGATCAGACTAGATTAAGTATTGGATATGTTTTTTCAGTAGTGATCGGTACTCAGTGATAACTAAAAGCAAACAACATGTCGATCCCAATCACAAAAACAGCAATTAAAATGATACCATGGATTCCCAGGTCATTCAAAAAATGATTAAAACAATCTGGGAAAAAGACGACGTTTCGCATCCATTAAATTGTCATGTAGATTTCACTCTATTTTGTAGGATGTGCCAATCTAAAACAAAAACAAATTTCAGTCTTGCCCATTGCAATTCATCTGTTCATTTGTTGTCTAGGATCGTATCCACGATCTATTCTATATTCAATGAGAATTGTCCAATTTAAATGCATGTTGTTTACTTCAGACCACTTTTATTTTTATCACTCTCAGTTACACATTTTAATGTTATATAATATATAAAAAGTGGCAGACCGTCAAGGCAATCAAGGTAGGCCTATGCTCTGCATACTCAAACTGAAAATATTGTATTGTGCCTTTCATCTGTTTTATTTAGCATTTATTACCCAAAATCTTCTATACCAACATTAATTTTTTTGAGTTGACTGCTATATTTCATTGGAATGTATTGTTAGATTTTCGAACTTTTTAGGCCTTTTGTACATTCTTCAAATACCATACCAGCAACGTCTGTATCAATAGAAGTGGGAGAATACCTTATAATTGTTAAATAAATATTAATATTTGTATTAGAATATAACAATTTTAACACCGTTATTACTAGCCTAATTGGGCGTACACTGCCGATTTGGTATTTTGTATTGCCCCGACATTCTAAAATCTCAATGATAAAAGTTAAAAGAAAGCTGCATATAAGACCGGTATAGAAGAAACTTAGTATAAATTAAATTGCAACTTGAGAGCAGCTAAGCTCAGTGTGCTAATCTGGTGGTAGCCACTTGTGTTTCAGCTAGAGGGCTGAAACACAAGTTACGAATATAGCGCACCGTCTTTCGGATGAGACGTTTAAGCAGGTCCCGTGTGCATTAATGGCCCATGTGTACGTTAAAGAACGTAATACACTCTTTGGAAAAGAGTAGGGGATTGTCTCCTGGTGTACTGTCCAATCACAACCAGAAGGATCCCACTGGAATTAAGTCTTCTTCTAGACTTTTGTGGGCTATCCTTGGTGTCTATACCGAATAAATCTAATCCAATCCAATCCAATCCAATGCAGTTAAACGTTATACTGGAATAAGAAATCTTTTGAGAAGAAACTACAACCTTGCGGGTATGAAAGGAACATAGTTTTAACTATGTAGAACATAGAACATAGTATTTTAACTTTATAACGCAACGCGTTCAGTCTTCACTGTAGGCTACAGATGGAACTTTTTCCAATAGCAGTCCCTGCATACCCGTGTACATTTTACCTTACAGTCTGCCACTGTATATAAATATGATTATCGTTTAGCCATTGTAAGTGTTCTTTTTTAATCTCTTACATTCACCCTTCATTCTAGGCATTTGGATTCTTCGCATTTTTGGCATATGGCGGAGGATTGTACTATGCTATTATGGATTACAGAAGGTCACTAGAGCTACGTGGAGGGAACCCACCCAACACCATTTCAACAACGATATCAACAACAACTACAGTCGCTGGTCCTAGTAAGACGGTCATCGAAACACCTCCGATGCAACCAGAGTACTAACAGCTGACTTGTTGTCAACCAGCAAGGATATACTTATGGTTTACTAAAATGCACAAAAATAGGGACTTTAGTGTGACGATGCACATTTATGACCTCGTTCCTTTATATTTCGCTCCCGTATGGCAGGCCCGTCTCGTTATATTTCTATGTCATGTTCGGCAAAAAGAAAGTAGGCCTATAACTTGTAATATATTTTTAAACGGGAGATTTTTAAGTGATCAACAGACTGATCTTTTTTTTGCCATATTCTATTAATTTTTTAACATGTGATAATGAATTCAGGCAGAGATTAAAGTCAGGCTTCGGAGGAAAACAAATTTTTTATATGTTGTAGCACTGATTTTTCTAAGACAGAAAAATGGTTGTCTGACGAAAAACTGGGGAGCGGTGAATGAGATACAGAATTTTGAATTTTTAAAAACTGGAGGAAAGGCCCTTTTTTACACCTTTTTCAGTACCACACCTTTAACGGTCTTGACGCTTGTTCATCTTCCCTCTACGCTGGCATTTTTTGCCTGTTTTGTATTTTGTTTATCATCGTTTGTCTGTAAGTTTTCCAGCGATGAAACTTAATATAGGCCTATAAACCAAAATAAAAATAATATTCATATACAGTACCACAAGCAGGTAACCAGAGGGTTTTGAAATCAAATCCCGGTTGGCAGAAAATGTCCAGTAGCGTTGGCTTTTAGTGGTGGACTTGAGATCAGAACACAGCTCTAGACCCTAGTCTTAAACATACTATTTACTGTATTAAAACAATTACTTTTTTAAGGTAAAATCGATATTGAAAATTAATTATGTGGATATGCTAATATGACTAATGACAAATGTTTATAATTATAAGCCTATTAAATCTAACTATAGTGTACAGCTGTGAGTTTTTTTTAAATTAAGTTTCCTCTCTGCAAGGTACGGTAATCATTCTTTGTTTTTGTATTTTTCCCATGATACCAATTCAAATAAGTGTTTATAATAATAAATCGTTAATGAAACAGACATTTTTAGTTTTCATTCTTTTTGTTCATTATGGAAATTTCGATCCAATATTCAGAAATTCCTGATTTATTTTTTTTAAAAAGAATAACAAAATGTTAAATGGATATTTGTAAACAAAATGTTTAAAAATAATATATATCTTATAACCGTCTTTATAAATATGAGAGTGTTGCTTTGCTAGCGTCTAGGGTTGCTTGGATCCTGAAAGAGGGGCGAATTAACACAACAGGTAAGTCATTAATACAGAAAAACATAAGACAGTAAACTCTTCCTTAGGAACAACACTTCCAACGGCGATACAGTCAGACATTTCACCATTAACCTTTTCTCGCTGAATACGACTTGACAACTGTTGTACAATTTAAAAGTTCACAATTACCATAGACATGCATTTTATGAAGGAGCCTTTAAAGAGGAACTGAAACGAAGGGGTTCTGAAAGTCGCAATACAGTACAAAATATCAGCAGAATGCACTTCATCAACCATATGATACCGTATATAACTATAGGACGATAATTTAAAGGTTGGTACCTTTTTTATAATCGCTGAAACGTTTAACCTGCCTCTAGTGCTCAGGAATAACACCTTTTATAAGTTACTAGTTTAGAGACTAATACATCAAGAGTTAGAACGTTTGCAATTATTTTGTTTAACAGCCGAGAATTAATCAATTTGGTGGGAGATTTCACTTTTTACTGGTTCCACCAACAAATGGTGTGATTTTATAATCATGAACCGCCGATGAATGCCTATTTTTAAATAGGTTTTAAAAGCAAGCATGTTGTTCTATTACCAACTGCAAGCATTTTCTTGGCCGTGTGAAAGCGTAGGTCGATTATCTTATCGCTATTTTATTATTTGCTTTAATATGTGTTGCTTAAACCTGTAGTATTAGTTTGACCACAGACCCTATTGGTTTGACGAAGCTAACGTCGCGTTTTAATAGTCATCGGCAGAGGCAGATCCCTAGGATGTCCGGGGACATGTTCTGCAAAATGTTTGGTTTCTAGACGCCCGGAATCAACCTCTGAGCCATTTTGGGCGATCATTAAGTCATTTTCCCCTTTTTTTTCCCTTTCTTTTTCCTTTCTGTTTTTTAGCAATAGTAATTTAATGCTATTGATGCATTAAATTGCATTCAATTGGTAAATGAAATCACTAGACCAAGTACCGTACCAACAATCCTAATATAGGTACCGGTACTACTATAGATCTTGTATTTACAAATAGACCTGAACATGTAACAAATCTTCATGTAACTGATAATCCGGAAGAAAGTGACCATAACGCTATTATACTTACATTACGCAAGTCAAAGTTCTATGAGAAGCGTATCATGATTAGCAATTGTGTTGCTTACCATAAGACAGATATTAACCATCATAATAATTTATTTTATCTTGCACCATGGAATTTATATTCTAGTAATTGTGTAGAAGAACTTCTAGGAAGGCTTTTTAAATAGGCCTATATTTCAAGCAGTCGAAAGACTGTGCATCGTTCAAAAAAGTCTAAAAAGCGTATCCATGGGTAACTAATGAAGTAAAGAATTAATAGCTAAAAAACAAAAATTGTTTAAAAAAGCTAAAGTACGTGGTACTAGCTTTGCTTGGGAAGAGTTTAAACGTGTTCGTAACAAAGTAATGTACCTTTGCCAAAAATATTATTATAATTATGTTATTGTCTTTTTACAGGTGGTAAGACTAGGAAGGCTTTTTGGCGTTTTGTAAGAGAGAGTAAGAGATCTTCTGCCCCAACTTCATTTATTGTAAATGAAGTCAAAACTACATCTGCTTCTGTGATATATGCCTTTACTACTTTGCTTCAATCTTTAATCATCCCCTTCCATGTCC